TTCAAATTAATTATTTATATCTAATTGTCATCTTTTATATATAGGTTAACGTAGCCTGCCAAAATATTTCTAAATTTTGAAAAAATGTTTAATGGTTTAAGCAATGTTTTGTTAAAGTTATTTAATAAAAAAATATATCAACCACTTTAAAACAATGGTTGAAACAAAACATGAAAACAAAATCTCTTCAGAGCTCAAATATTGACATCGGTCATGTAAACTAAATTTGCAATCAGTACAAATTTTTCTTTATTTAAAAATTTTAATGCTAAATTCTTTATAATTAACATGTAAATCAATTTATAGATAAAGTTCTTCACCAGTAGTCTGGTAAAACTGCATATAATCTTTGTATGCAAAGGTTCTTCACAAGTAGTCTCGTACAAATGCATATAAACTTTGTATTTGAGTACGCATCAAGGCCAAGAACATATTTTAAGAGTAATACATTTATAGATCTTTTCGAATTAACTTCAACACATACATTTTTTTATCATAGTTTATCATTATAAACTTAATTAATCAATACTTTAAAATTTATTACAAAATCCTGTTTTTGAGATTTTAGTTTTTTAAGTAAGACACACTTGCCTCTCTTTAAAAATCAGCGAATCAGATTGCTCATATTTCTGCTTATTCTGACCCTGTATAGGGTTTCAAAATATGCTATCGGTTTCATAATTTTGCGATGGTTAAAAAATAATAATTACTGTATTTTGATGGAGGAAACTAACTTTTGAGTTAAATAACTTAGTTAGAAACTTGAATTGACATACCTTATTTTCTTTTGTTATATAGAACTTTGTTTTTAAAATTTTTTTTTTCACTGCTTTAAAAAAAATCAAAATGATTATTTTAGTTGAAACAAACTTTAGACTTCCTTTTTAACATACACCTTGAGTAGAATTTTTATCAAGTTTTATTGTTTAATTATCACCAGGAGAAAATTAGTTAGTAACAACAAATATATAACAAAATATATCAATGGACAGTCCCAGTTTTATTACACTAGACTATGTATCCTTTTAATGCATTTTATGTAATAAATAAGGGGAAAAAAAGTTTCAAATACGGAAAACAAAATTCGGACTTTCCTTTTGCCATTCACCCTGCTTAATTTATGCGTTATTAAACTAACTAATTTTATTAAACATATAACGTGGCCGATGATTAATTCAAAATGTCGCTTAATTCACAAGTTTATATAACATTATAAAAAAAAAGTTAGTATGTTAAAGAAAAGCATCTTTTCCTTTAAAGTTAGGCGACCAAAGATTATATAAATTGTGTAGAATTTTTGATATCACGATATATATCGTGATATATATACTTTGGATGCAAGAAAGGAAGACAGAGAGTTATTACAAATAAATGCTGTTTAAAGTTGCATCGATAAAAACCAGAATTTGTTCCATGGTTTTCTTTGATAATAAAGAAGAAGATTTTAGACTTGTTAAGTATAAACTTTAATTAGCCACATGAACCACATAAAGGAAAAACTTGTTTATTTAGTATTTTAATAAAAGCTATTACTGATTTTTTTTTGGATGTTATGAAATGTGAAATTGTGGCAAGGATACTTTGCATAAGTTTTTTATACCTGTGGTTTTCAGTTCCAAAGAATGTCATTAATGGTGCAGCCTCTGGTACTGCTTCTTCTACAAAAGTTAATAACAAATTTTGATTTTTTTTTGCACTCAGTGCATTCATTACACAGTGTGTATAACAAGACATGTTTTTAATTTAACTTTTTTAATTATACGATTGTGCAAGCAAGTAATAATAATACTTTTTATAGTTTAAATCTTATTCAAGCATCAAAAGATTTTATCTCTATAGTTAGAAATATTATTAATCAACACCTCCAAATATGCTTTAAACAAGCCTAAAAATTCCTTTAAAATTATTTTAACTTGGTTATCACTGTTTATTTGCTAGACTATCTGATTACTGAGTTTTGCACAATGTTTGATTGATACAAATTTGAAGTGTTATAAAGCACCTGCGTTTTAGTTTCTTCTTTCTAATATTCAGTTTCTTCTAAAAACAATTGCAGAAATTCAATGTTTTGTTATACTAGTTAGAAAGATCAAATCATATAATCGTCTAGTTTTTTCCCTGCTTTTTAACCCTTTGGAACTCTCTCCAATATTTCCATTTTTATACTTAAGTTTCACGGAACCTTAGTACATGGTAACATTATGGTGAATCCGTTTCACGCCTACCCCTTGTTTTAATAAGTTTTCGATAACGGGAGATTTCTTTGGCACAAAAAATAATACAAGTTTAACATTTTAGGCTCAGATACAGATGTCCGGGGTTCGACGCCAGCTCTAGCCCAACAAGCGACATTGGTACGGAAGGAGGCGTGAACTTCCTGTTAAATGCTCTCCCGCGGTGCTCTATGATATGGCCGTTAGGACTTCTGGGAGCACCTAAATACATACAAAAAAAATAAAAAATAAAATACTATGTGAACTATAATGTTTGCAGATGACCCCACTTCATTCTATTCTCACAGTAATATTATTTCTCTAGTTCAAGTAGAAAATAATGAAATAAAACAAATATCAAACTTGCTTCTTGCTAAAAGCCTATCTTTAAACTCTGGTAAAACTAAGTTTTCTTTATTTCATTCTAAACAAAAGTTTCAATATATTCCAAAATCCTTACCAATGCTTTATATAAATAACATCAAAATTGAGCGCTTATTCACAAAAAAATTACTTGGTATTTTAATAGACGAAAACTTACCCTGGAGAGATCATATTAAACATATTAGCAATAAATCAAGAAGTGTTGGCATTTCATATAAAACCAGACAAATCTTCGACAAATCTACATTAACTCAACTATATTTTGCATTCATAAATAGTTATTTATTTTATGGCAATATTGTTTGGGGTAGTACAAATAAATCTAAACTCGACTGTCTCCTTAAACAACAGAATCATGCAGCACGCATTATTCATTTTTAAAATCGCTTCACAAATGCTGAACCTCATCTTAAAAGCATGAGGACACTTAATATTTATGAACTAAATATTTTCAAAATTAAACAATTTATGTTTCAACATCAGTCAAAAAAAAACACCGAGTGTTTTCGAAAATATTTTCCCTAAAACATCAAACTGATACAACACGCGATCTACCGGAAAATTTGAAAAACCTTTCCGTACATCAAAACTTACGAGCTTTTCTATTTCCTATTGTGGTCTAATGCTATGGAACCATTTTACAAGCCTGAGTGGTAATCTTAAAGAAGCCAATACCTCTCAAAAATTTAAAAAGAACATAATCGAACTTATTACCTAACAAGACGTTTATTTCCAATTTTTATTACCAGAGATTACTGATGATAAGATTTTATCTTCTTCAGGTTCTCCGGTCTCGTAACTATTATAAATAATGAAATGTACTTATATTTAATATTTTTAAATATTTTATAAGAAATTACCTTTAACTGTAAAGGTTGCTTGACAAAAATAAAAAAAAATAAAACATAATAAAATAAAATATATTTAAGGAACTCTGAATTAAAAACAAAATTTTCAATGTTTTTTTAGCTTTTTTCTTAAAATTATATCTTCCACTAAATAATGCAATTGTAACCATTAAAAATAGTATGACATTTTTTTAAATATAAAACAAGATTTATAAAAAATCTTTTGAAAATTTACAAAATATGTCACCGTAATAAGCTTAATTTTGTTAATTGAAGAGTGGTTTTCAAAACTTAATAAATTCATTTTTTTAAAAACTGAAATTTTTTTAAAAACTGTTTTTTCAATATTTGAATTTTTCATTGATAAACTGATTTTGTATAAAGCCAAGCAGTTTTTAAATCTATCTTGTTTAAAAAACTTATATTTTTCTTTAATTCATTGCTACTTAAATTATGCAAACGTTGCTTGGTGCAGCACAAACGCAACAAAAGTAAAAAAACTGTTTAGTAAACAAAAACAGGCTATAAGGATAATTACAAACGTAGACCGTTTCTCTCACACTAAAACATTATTTAATAAACTTAATATTCTAAATGTATATAAACTAAACCTTTACCATATTCTTATCTTCATGTTTAAACTTGATAAAAAAATATCACCAATGTTATTTAATTCACTTTTTGAAAAAATAAACCACATATACCCTACCAGATTTTCAAAAAACAATTACATTCAATCCAAAACACATTATTCAGCAACCAAATTCTCAATTGCAAATCGAGGTCCTAAGCTGTGGAATACAATATTAAATAATGAGCTGAAATTTAATTATTCTTTAAACCAGTTTAAAACAAAACTTAAGCAATTACTGATGATACATGAAAATGAATTAAAGTTCTTCTAAAAAGCTTTTTAAACTAGCAAACAAAAACAAAAATTAACCTACTAATTACTCTTTAATATTATATTTAATATTCTAAACAATTGTCTGCTATTGTAAATGTATTTCTTATCTTATAAGTTTTGAATTTACAAACGATTTTTTAAGTTTTATTATTTGAAATACTAATTACTAAAAATATTGTAAAATTTTATAATTTCAATTTTTATTAAAAAAAGTTATTGTAAATTCTTTTTGTAATATTAATACTTATATATCATCTTATTTTACTAATCAGTTCTTAAATATAAATACTCTTTGAATTACTAAATATTTTAAACGTTATATATTTTATTTTTTACATTTTGTTAAAATATTTTATTTGATGAATATGCATTTTTTTTTTTTGGGGGGGGGGGCTTAATGATAAGATGAATTTTGTCTTCTTCAAGCCCCAGTCATGTAAATATTTGTTTTTATAAATTACGAGTGTAAATTATTTTCAATCGGCAAATACAATACTACTACTACTAAAAAAACGTACAAATCTAACTGTGCTAGTATCAATAAAAAACTTGTTCATCATCTTTATTTACTATTACAAAATTATAGATATTAGAAAAATCTTTGCCGGACTATAAGTTTTGTGTTTTTCTCAAAACAATAAAAATGTGACTTAACCCGTTTTGGAAAACTGCTCTTTAAATAATTATTGCTATATAATTTTTTTTTTAAATAATAATTATTTTCAAAGAATAATTAATTAAATAGTTTGAGTAAAAATCAAAAAACGCTAAAATAGATACAGTTTAGATTTCTTCTCCCTTTTTTTTAATCTTTAAAAGGTTTTTTATTTCAGGTGTCAAATGAAGAATGCATTGCCATGAAATTATTAGTTGTTCATAAGATAAAATGAACAACTTCTTTTAATTTTCCTATCGTCCAATAAATTGTTTTTCAGAATATAATCAAATTGAAGATAAAATCTTATATGAAAAAAATTAGACACGCGTTTATATCTGCTTTATATAGCAGCATTATCATGTTGATTTCCATTTAAAAAGTTTCACACGCTATTATTCGAGAGCATTTTTCTTTTGTTATAATCATATGTTTTTTCTTAGTTAGGTCTATCATTATAATATTACTTCCATGCGTACGTCCGTAAATAACTGCGATGTTCGAATCGTATCCTATCACATCCAGCACGTTAATTGGCAGAACTAAAAAAGATAACAAAGCAGATTTAAAAACTTTTAACTTTGCTTGTTTTTTTTAAATTGTTTTAACAAAGGAAAAAAACAAAGAGTAAAAACAATAATATTATTAATATATAAAAAATAAAGTAGTGTAAAAATTGAATTTGTCTATTTTTATCAATGTACTTAATTGAAAAAATGATGCTCATGGCCATACTCTTAACAAGGCAAATCTAAAGATGCCACTGAATCTTTTTATTGATTTTGATGTTGGTGTTACGTAAAATAACCATTCACAAATGTAAAAATTAAAAGCAATAAAAAAAAAATCTTCATCAAAATCATAATGGTGATAATAATATCCAACCTTAGTCAAATATGACAAATAAAAACAATGCAAAAAAAAACTTGCAAAAAAAAATAAATTACAAAATGCCTGCAATGTAACTTTTCAGAGTACCAAACTTTATTATTTCTCAAAATGTCATTATTCATAACATAACTTTATAAAACCTTACACAAAATTATTATTATTTATGTCACTTTCTTGTAAGGGCATAATTAAAATGATGCCCTTATTATGTCGCCATTTAACATGATAATTGCTGAAATCGTGAACACGTAATAATTATACAGATTATGAACACATAACAATAATACAAGATTATGAATACATAATAACAATACAGATTATTTATTTATTTATTTCTACAGCATAGATATTACAAATTTTTGCAGAGTAAGATTTTTGTAATCTTACTATAGTAATAATTAGTTAGTTATTTATTTTTTGTTAAGACCATATTTTTTCTTGAATTCGTTAACTGTTTTTGATGTTACTAAGTTATTTGGTAAATTATTTCAATGTGGCACTATCCTGTTGCTGAAAAAATTTTCATGGTAACTGTTTTTAGTAAACTCTCTGTACTCTTTATATGGTTCTCCTCTGGTATTAGAAGATGGACCTTTTAGAGTTGAAGAAAAGTTTTTGAATTTGGATGATACCAGTTTACTTTGTTTAAATTTGTTTTTATTTTATAATATTGGATGAAGTCTCCTCTAATTCTTCTGGATTCGAGACTTTTTAACTTTAAAATTGATAAACAATTTTCATAAGAATTGTGCTTAAGACCTGGAGCAAGCTTAGTAGCTCTTTTCTGAACTTTTTCAAGTTTTTTTTATTCCATTTTTCAAATATGGATTCCAATCTGGTGCACAAAACTCTAATTCAGGTCTAACATAAGTTGTATAGCAAATATATAAATAAAGGAGTCAATTGACCAGAATTTAAATATTCGCTTTAGTGTACCTAGTTTTGAGTAAGTTGTTATTGGTTATTGTTGTAATGTGGTCTTTCCATTTCAGATTATTGCTTATGTTGATTCCTAGGTCATGTTCCGGTGTTATTTCATTTAGTTTGATAATTGTTCTATCGTGGGTTGTTATATATAGTGGGACAGCTTGATTTATTTGTTGTTCTTTAGCTATTAAGTTATGTAGATTTAAGTAACTTGTTATGTCATCTTTTATTAATTTTTGCATTATTTTACTTATAACTGATGATTATGAGATAGGTCGATAATTTGTTAGATAATTTTTCTTCCCTATTTTTTAAATCGGTGTTTTATTTATTTGTTTCCATATTTGTGGTGTTGCTCCAGTGTTGTATGCTTTGATAAATAATAAACTAAGTGGCAGGTTAAGAGCAGAACTGTAGTTTTTTAAAATATTAGGAGAAATATCATCGATTCCAGCTACTTTGTTTTCATCTAGTAAGTCAAGTTTTGTTTCAACATTTAATGGTGAGAATAAAAGAAATGGATTCAAAGTATATTTTTTTATTGTTCTTGATAATAAATTTATTGTTAAATCATTTTCTAAATCAATTGGTTTGGTTAATGCTTCGTAAAAATTGTTTATTTAGACAGTTAGCTGTTTTTACGTTTGATGTTAATTTTATGCCATCAGCATCGATTAATGAGAAAATTTTATTTTTGTATGGTTTTTGATTATTTATATATTTGTATAGTAATTTTAGGTTTAATATACATTTATTGATTATTGATTTTCATGTTTAATGTGGGCATTTTTTACTAATTTCGAGTTAGAAAGATAGGATAGAAATAGCGGATAGGATTGCACACGATATTAGAAGGTGCAATACGTTACTATACACATAATTGGCTTAAGCCAAATAATGTGTGCAATATATATATATATATATATATATATATATATATATATATATATATATATATATATATATATATATATATATATATATATATATATATATAAATATATATATATATATATATAAATATATAAATATATATATATATATATATATATATATATATATATATATATATATGTATATTATATATATATATATATATATATATATATATATATATATATATATATATATATATATATATATATATATATATATATATATATATATATATATAAATATATATATATATATATATATATATATATATATATATATATATATATATATATATATATATATATATATATATATATATATATATATATATATATATATATATATATGTATATATATATGTGAAAGTTGTTTTTTATGATCAGATGATTTTGAAGGAGATTTCATAAGAAAATATAATTTTTTTTTTGATTAGCTGTCTTTTTCATATCATTATGGTGCCATTTGAAAGAATATTTTATTTTATTACAATTAATACAGATTTTTGGTATATAAATATCAATTAGATTTTTATATATTTTAGTAGACCGTTATTCATGTCATTGATGTCTCGATTATTGAATGGTTGAAACCAGTTAATGCTGTTGAATGGTATATTTAGATTTGAATAGTTTCCTTTTTGGTTTCGTTTTAATAATTTTTTGATTTTTTTATATGGTGTGTGATTCATTTAGATAAAAGCCCCAGGTTAGTGTTGAATGGTGGCATTTATTGGATCATTAACGTTAATTGTATAGATCTTGTTTGGGTCATTTGTAATTACTAGATCAATGATGTTGTTATTAAGAGTTGGTTTGTTATTAAGAGTTGGTTTGTTATTAAGAGTAGTTTGAATCTGGCTATGGTATTATTAATGCTTAGATATATATTGTAATCTGTTTACACTTATTCTACTTTTTTGTTTTTACATAATTTTATTTATATTTATTTTACTAAATAATTACTAATAGATAAAGAAGTATGTGCAGGATTTAATTTCACGACTAAAGAGGACTCCGAAGAAGAATGTAAGTAATTATGTTTGTGAATAATTTTGTTTCTCTTCGGATTTAACTTTTCTTTGTTTTTTATAAAGTAAAGAATAAAAAAAAATTTAATATTAACTATTGGTCAAAGCTGATTTCAATAATACTGTCTAAATTTTATGACCTGTGGTATATATATATATATATATATATATATATATATATATATATATATATATATATATATATATATATATATATATATATATATATATATATATATATGAATATATATATATATATATATATATATATATATATGTATATATATATATCTATATATATATATATATATATATATATATATATATATATATATATATATATATATATATATATATATATATATATATATATATATATATATATATATATATATATATATATATATACATATATAATTATATATATTTATATGTATATATATATATATATATATATATATATATTTATATGTATATATATATATATATATATATATATATATATATATATAAAATTTAAATAAGTGCCAGTTCGAATAACCGTAAATTTATTGTATATATATATATATATATATATATATATATATATATATATATATATATATATATATATATATATATATATGTATATTATTGTTATTATTATTATATAATATGTTCTAATTATTATAAGTTTTTTATTTGTCAATATAAGAATACCAACAAAATTGCAATATTTTTTTGTAGTAAATAAATGAATTTTGTTGTCTCACAAAAATGTTGGATTTTAAGTCCAGAATTTTAATCCATAAGACACTTTAGTTAATAACACTGTTGAAAACTAACCAAAAGTCTCTAAAATCGACATCTAAGATAAGATACAAGGTTTAGTAAACTGATATTAACAGAGATTTACATCAGGTAAGACTTTATTTATACATTAGCTTATTGCAATAATAAAAAGGACAATTTTTTTTTAAGAGAGATGTTCTTATAAAAAAAGGGGAAAAAAGTAGTTAATGTTGAAAGATGTAGAGTAGAATGAGGCTTGATTTAAAACTGAAGAGAAGTAATAAAAGCTTCCAAACTTTTATTCCAGAAGCAATATAAGCTTCCAAGATGCACTTTTTGCACACATATTATGGATATAAGCTTATTTGTTTGCTTTTTGTTTAGATGCTGGCATACAATATCCTTTCATTGTTGTATAAACTTTAGTATTTATATAGTGTAGTATTTGCCGAACGAGAAAATGATCAGATGGATGTGTGGTGTGACTCTAACAAGACATAAAAAGTAGGCATAATCTTAGACAGATTAGAAAAAGCGTTGTATCAAACAACCTTTTTTTTTAGAAAAAGTTATAGTAATTCAGGTATTAAAATTTAGAGTGGTAGCAGCTTGAGTATAAAATGGTTGTGGTAGAAGTAAGAAAATTTGAAGAGTGTGTCTTACATAGTGCCATAATAAAGATGATGATGATTATCATGATGACGATCAACAACATCAACATAATTTTTATTATCATTGTCAAGCCTTCCGCTTTTATGCTGTTGATGATGATGATAATGATGATGATGATGATGATGATGATGATGATGATGATGATGATGATGATGATGATGATGATGATGATGATGATGATAAATGATGATGATGGTTATGATGATTATGATGATCATGTTGATCACAATGATGTTCATATATGCATATATATACAAAATATAGCATGAATTTTAAATTTAAAAAATATACTTTAGGATGTATAAATGTTTATGCAGC